AAGTGGAAAAAACTGAAAGTCTGGCATAATAAACTGCAGTTCACCAAGCTATGCCTAAATTAAGCAAGAAACACCCACATACTGTGGACTTGGCCAAAACACTGGAAATTGAGTCTGCTTAAAAACAGACTAAAGCAGAGAAGCTATCGCAAAAGGCAAAAACCAGACACTAGGCAAGCAGGTGCAAGAGCAGGAATATTTAGTAAATACTAGTGGCCTTCAGAGGTATGACTTAGAGGCATCATATCCTTGTGATGTTATCTTCATACAGCTCTTATATAATTGTGCATCTCTATGATGATCCAAAGATAACAGAGTCTATGGAAGCGGAGAAAATTACCAAAGCTATTCTCTGACATGACTACAGTGTGACACTTGAGTGTTTTCAGGTCAATATATTTTTTGCATGGCACTCTACTTCTTTTCTCCTTTATATCTAAGAAGAAAAAACGAACCTTGTTACTGGTAAATTGAGACTTCAAGTTCAAAGTAATTGGGGGAGGGGTTCTACATTTGCCTAAATAACCAGGCATATACACAAACTCACGATTTCCAGGTGATATATACACCTCTTTTCAGAACGATTAAGAAAATGACCATATACAGAGAAATTAGCCTTTCAGAGAAGGGAAAGGCCAAAAAACAAAAGAATGAAATTGATATTCATTTATATGTGTTCATGATATACATTCATGCTATAGTCATACATAATTAATATGAGAACACTATATTTATTCAAGCTATGCTGTGCACGGCTTGAAAGGGAGAGAATAAATTAGGAACTAGGAAACTGTAGGGCAGTCAGAATCAGACAAGGTGAAAAACAACAAACCTTTTTCCATACTTTGATTTGAGCAAACATCCACGAGACCAATAAGAAGTCCATACCTGTTTTCAAAACCGCATGGTTCTTAGGTTGCTGCCAGCCTCAAGGAACTGGAACCATAGGAACAGGTGATTTCCTCCAGAAATTTCCCAGAGAGCAGCCCTGTTTTCTCTAGCAGTGCCTCAGGCCACCCACTAGTTCAATCACCATGATGGCTGCCAACTCTGTTGATCTTTTGCAATTTTAAAGTATGTTCTCGGCTGGAATCTCCTTATTTTACATTTTTTTAATATTCCAGCCAATGGAACCAAATCCAACAATGTCCCAGTTTCAACCAAAGACCTTGGTTTATACACTCTCTAATATATGTTTGGTGACAAAAAGCCAGGGAAAAATTTATGATGTGGTATTCTTGAAGGATTTGGAAACCAGGGATACCAAGATTTAGAATGAGTGATGGTAAGTATACCTAGATATTAGGGGAAAGACAAAGAATTGGAGAAGAAAATGAGAGGAAAGAAGGTAGAGAAGCTGATTTTTAAAAAAGTGTTTCTTCTTAGAAACCCTCAGCACAGAGCTGGGCCAAAGTCATTAACAGAAGGACCAGCCAACAAAGTCCAAAAGAACAGGTTTTTGTCTCAAGATCACTGCCCTCTATCCTGGCCTGCTGTTTCTCCTTATACTATATCATCCTTCTTTTTCATGCTCTTTCCTCCATTAAAAAGGGTGTCACACAAACCATTTCCCCAAACACTATGCAGAAGATGAAGGGAAAAAAAAAAAAAGAAAACACACAGATGATGACATTCTGTATTTTACCTGACTTTCCAGAGGACAGGCATTCTATAAAGGAATTCACTGGAAAAGTTCATGAACTTACATTCAAACACGGTTGAAGTTTAATTCCGAATGTCCCTTCAAGAGGTAAAGAGAAGCTCTGCTTTGAAACGTGAGCAATAACACCCTCTGACTTCTACTGAAATGGTACCTAGAGACAAGGCTAAGAGGAAAGAGGAAAATTCCACCCTCTCAACTCAGGATACAAATCAATCTTACCCCAAAAACTGCTTAAGAAGAAGGATCTACACACCTATCACAGAAACAACTTGAGATCCTATAACAGAGTGAACTATGAATTCTGACATCTAGTCCACAGGGAAGGGGTTTAGAAGTTCTGATTACCTGTAGCCTTCTCAAACTTTTCCACCCAAGTGCCAATAATGTCAGGGATGGAAAAGAGAAGATACATAATAAAAATGATGTCTTTGATTCTTAGTTTTTCTTATAACATAAAATTCATGAACCAAATAAGATTCACATTTGCATTCTTCTGCATAATATATCACTTTGGTTTCAAGTTTTTACTCCAAATCAACAATTAAAATTAACTTCAAGAAAATGTGTCACTTTCACTTTGTGACTCTACCCTGGGTACACATCTATATGCCTCAGCACTAAAGAGCTTAGATTAAAGGACTCATGCTTTGTTTTCTTTTGTTTCTATTCAACGACTGTTCAGTTAGTGGCCACTATGTATTCTTCCTCTGCTGTTCAAGCCAAAATTAACTTCTTTAGTATGTTAAAGTTTTATCTTAAGATTTCAAAATCGATTTCCAAAATCCAATCTTGGCTCTTTATCTAAATACTGAACTAAAACTAGTTATACTCTTTCTATACTGTGATCAAAGTAGGGAACACATCTTTGCTAACTTATTTCCTCTCAATGATGGTTTTGGTGGCTCTGAACAGAAAATCTTTTATCGGGTTTAGAAAGCCTGCTAGCATATATGTCCGGGAGAAGAGGTACTGTCTTCCTAGTAGAAAGAATTCTGGAACTTGTCTTATGATGACTTTTCATGGCTGATCAGATGGAAATACGTGGAATTAATTATAAGATAAAGTCTGGATAGAACACAAAAAGCAAATCCTGATATCCAGCTCAAATAACTATCTCAGTTCTCTGTTCTGAAAATAAGTGTTGATACCAGAAGATGCCAAATTCAACTTTGAATGAGATTCTTCCACCTTTGTGCTCATCTCCATCTTATTTCCTTCTAAATATTAAGGAAAAGAAAAGAGCTTTATATAGATATATAAATATTTATATATATATTTATATATGTTTTTTTAAGAGGCCAGACAAAATGGCTGCATAGTATATGATTCCATTTATATGAAAAGTCCAGAAAAGGCAAATTTATAGAGATAAAAGCAAACTGGTAGTTGTCTGGGGCTAAGAGTAAGACCAGGGATTAACTGCAAATGGACATGAAGTAAATCTGGGGAGATGACAGAAATGCTCTAAAATTTGATTGTGGTGGTATCTAGACAACTCTATAAATTTAATAAAAATCACTGAATTGTAGGCTTACAGTGGATGATTTTCGTGGTATGCAAATTATGTCTCAATAAAGCTGCTTAAAGAAAGAGAAAATGCCAGTATTCAAGATAAAAAGGATGTTTCAATTAGGCCTTTAATGATCTAAATATCATGAGAAATTTCTGGCTAATTAGAAATGTTTAAACACAGCAAAATAGGACATTGCTTAAATTAACTGAAAGTGACGCCAAGACAAGCATAAAGCACTCTGCTTTAGGAAGTGGTTGTTTATATCGATTTTTTAATATTTCTTTTCTTTTGTTAATTTATATGGAACATTTGCTTCCCCCACAAAAAAATGGTGGATTTGGGCTTTACTAGTTTTTCATCGTGATAAACAATCTCCCAAGAAAGAAGGTCAAACTAGTAGCACCTATAAAATATTTAATATGATGGAATAAACAAGTAAATAAAATATAAAAGTTGTATTATTTCCTTTCATAATTTTTTTTTCCTACAGAAAGACCCTAGTGAGGAAAGAAGCAAAAAATGAAGAGATAATACTGAGAATCATGTGTGTTAGATGCTCAACTAACCTAATTTTGTCTTCCTGGGTCCACAGGATGACCATATTCCCCAACTTCCTTTGCATTTTAGATGGAGTCATATCTGACAAAATACGAGCAGAAGTGATGCACTGTACATCATTTCCAGGAAAGGCAATAAAAACACACTGTGTAACCATCCAAGCTCGCTCGCTCGCTCGCTCGCTCTTTCTCTCTCTCTCCCCTATGGATATGGCTGGAAGTGAAGAACTCCAAAGTGGTAGATCAAGGTCATAAAAGAATGCCTGAATTACTTCTAGATGCCTGAATTACTTCTTTGAAGAGAGCTGTCATTAGCATTGAATTCTTCCTGAACAAGAAATAAACCTGTCTTTTGTTGAGCCATTAAAATGTTGGGATTGTTTGTTATAGCTAATTACCCTAATTACCCTAGTTATCTGTCTTAACTGATATAATATACTCTAAGACTCAAAATATATTTCTTCCTTTATGTATTTTATCAATAAACTTATTCTTTCTGTCCATCCTTCCTCTTTCTCTTCCTGTTCCCCTACCTCATGACTCCAGTTCATGTTCATTTCTGAGGCAGAAGAAACACAGAAGTAGAATTCAGCCTACACTTCATTAACACTCTCCTTCAAGAACGAGAATATTTGAATGGAATAAAGTAAAAATAATAGGCCACAATTCTTCATTCAGAAGAGCCAGACTGTGTCTCAAGTCTTTGGTTAAAATGTTGCATTATCACCAAGAATAATGCTGTGCCTACCCTCTGAGAAAAAAAAAAAATCCCTATGGTGATAAATACCAGGAAAGAAATGTCAGAGTTGGCAGCCACCTTCTGGGTCATGAACTTTACTTTTATTTTCTGAAGCTTTTGGTAGTGGAGAAGTGCATTCTGGTTGTTCTAAAGGTTTTTTGGTTTTTTGCGGGGGGCGGTTTTTTGGTCCACCCCTGAGAATTATTTCCCCAAAACAACAAATTACCATTTATTTCATTTTCAAGTTGTTTCCTTATCCAGGTGCCCTTTCCTCCTTTTCTGCATAAAGAGCAAATGCAAGGAAAGAAGAGAGGACCCGCCCCAGTTCAGAAACCAAGCCCTGGACCACACTCAGCCCATTACCCTCACCAACCCTTCATCTGGTCAACCCCAGCTCCCCCGCTCCCACAACTCCATAGTAAGAACATAAAATAATTCAAACAAAAAACAGCTCATAAAACAGTAAACAAAATAAAGCCAGTTTTTCTTTTCTTTTAAGAACAAAATGAAACTTGAGGGAAAACTTACTGGAGTTACAGTTTATCCTGATACAGTCTAGATGGGGAAAAATAAATGAAAGATGAAATCGCATCCTTCAAGGTAACAGCTGCAGACATCCAAAAACAATCAGTCCACCCTTCCGGGGACAGACACACGCAAGAAATGTGGCCATTTTATATATATACAGTATGTACAAGTTTAAGGGTGGGTGTATATGTACAGTATATTATTTAGTAAAGTTAGATACATATATATATACACACACACACATATATATACACATATGTATAGAGATATATACTGGTATACATATATATCCACAATAGACACTTGAATATGCTGCTCCTTTCTTTTTTTCAAAAACCTATTCATTTATATAAAGTATTTCAAACCTGAACTTTGAAATGTTAATTTTTTTCGACTTGGAAAATGATGCAAAAATTTCCCCAACAAATGCAAGTTATATTCTATTTCCCCTTATAATGATTTTTCTTAAAATTTATCTTTAAAAGTAGCATCGACACAATTTTTGTATTAGTATTCCCAAGATATATTACCAATCTGACATATTATTTTTTTTAAAAAGATCTGTTCATGAAGTTTCTCAGTGTAGTATTTAACCCTTTCTCTTTTTCTAAAAATAAACTCCCTCCACCCTCTTTTTTGCTTGGGCCCCAGATGCTATAGAAATTTGTGTAGGCAGAGTGCCATTATCCCTAGTTAGAAGGAAAGGGTTAATACCACCTGGTCATGTCCTGTCATAAAATGGCCACTTGCAAACAGCTAACCGCACAAACACCCATCCCAGATTTTAGAGAGGTGGGGCTGGGTGTAGGGTAAAAGGAGCTGTATGATGTTATCACAATTGATTGGGTTCTCTGCTATTGTTTCAAAGGCTCCCAGACCAACCCACTCATGAAGCCCATCTCTGTCTTCCTGCCTGAATGCTCAGGCTGAATCATGTGCCTATAGCATTCAAGGAGAAGGCGAGAAAGGTATATGGGGAGAAGGTCTCAGGCACCTTTGACATCCTACCTATTTCATTCTATGACTCTGCATCTTGAGGGAAGAAAATTCTTTTTTTTTTTTTTTAACGGAAAAGAGAGGGAAGAAAGGGTGTCTAATTTTCCAGTGCTGGTAACCAAATGGGGTATTATGCCAGAGATCAGAGTATCTATCCTTTTATTAATATGTATTTAGAGTCATGGGTACCCAGCACAAAAGGTTTTGAGTAGAATCAATGTTTTTTGGTAGCGGATTGGGTGGAATGGTTTAAAAATGTCTCAGATTAATTGTTACAAAGTTGCCCAGTTGAAACTAAATTTGATAAATCAAATTTATCATTGGGAATCCAATAGGAATTTGCTTAAAGTAGATACTAAAAAGTAGAAGTAAAACAAGAAAAGGGGAAAAAAAAGTTACACGGAAACCTAGTTAGAAACTGAGCTCCTCTGCCTAAGGTTGAACCGATAGTTTGGAGGACTCATCACGAATAAGGCCACCATCTGAATTTCCCAAAATAAAGCATTTTAAGTAAGCAAGTGAAAAAGGAACCAGTGGCAAAGGACAGGGCAGAATGAAAGTATGCAATCCACATAGGAGAAATGTATGACACCCAATCATTCTGAGGAAGAAGGCAGGATGCTTATTTGTTCCCCAGAAGAACATCTCTTGAGAAAAATCTGGGTTTGGTTTCATGCGGTTAGGTTTGTCATGTGTCGTCAACCGCAACAGAAAAGTGGGAGCAAACAGCCCTGGAGCAACTGGTACGATCACCAAACAGAGGAGGCCATGCCCCTGGTAAGGACTGGGAAGGAGGAGGGTAAGGAGGGAGGAAGGGGTGAGGCTTCAGCTACCAGTTGCACCTACCATCAGCCAAAGCTGGAGAAATGTCTGTTCCTAATGTACCAAGGCGACAAGGGAAACATGTGTATGGGCATGCTTAAGAGAGACGAGAAGACAAACAGTGGGCCTAAAGTGGAAAGTCTGAGAGCTATAAACAAGAAGTAGTTCTCTTCTTTGATTTCTCATGCTGCTGAGGATTTTATTCTTAGCAAGGACCTGGTCTAGGGAGAAGTGCTGGGTGCACTCGAATAGTTCCATGAACTGAACGGTGTCTTTAAACTAATGTGAGGACCTGGAGCTTTGAAGAAGGTAGACAAATGGTTAAGTCAAGAAGAGATGGGTTATTTTGATACTTTACCTGAAGAATAAGTGGTTCAAGGAAAAAAAAAAAATCTACCCCAGTGCCTTGCTCATAGGCTCTGGGAAGGTAGTCTTGATAGTGAGGGTATATTTTTTAATAAAAAGGGAATCATGAGAATTGGGTTGGGAAAGCAACTTTCTTTAGATCTCTCTTTAGTAGCAGCCAAAGTTCTACCTCTTTGTTAGCCTTGGCAAGGTATCTGAGGGGTCTGTCCGTGTATGTCTGTGTTGTTCATTATGTTTAATTTAGGTTTTTTGTTTTATTCTAGTAGATGAAGAGAAATTATTTTCTAAATTGATGAGCTTTGAGTTCAGAACATGGAAGACGTTAGCTGTGTGTCTTCAACAATGTATACAGTAAATGGCAGTCAACAAGTCCATGTTGCCAGACAGAACATATGGAGAATTGGAATGCAATTAACCAAACTGCAGGAGCCTCCCTATGGGCCTCCACCACTGAGGAAGTGTTGCTGGCATTCTGCTGAGGACTCTAAAGGGCCACGAATGAGGTGCCAATACTGATGGACTTTTCAGCCGTATGGCTCAATTCAAACCAGACATGAAGGAAAACAGATTCCCTCTGTGTATGTTTAAAAGGTAATCATCATGAAAGCAGTTAGAAGTCATCCAGACTGCCACATCATTGACCCACAGTATTGAGCTGCGGATATAACAGATCACCCGTGTTGATCCAGCATTTTAGAAAGTCAGGTTCTAGTCTAAGCTCCAATATCAACTTTGTATGTTAGCTTTGAAAAGTCATACATTTCTTTGTTTCATATCTGTAAAACTAAGCATAAAAAAATTTCCTTGATTTATCTCACAAAGTTACTGGGCAAGTGAAATGAAGTTTTTAAATCTTTAAATATACTATGATAATAAAATTATTATTCTATATTTTAATTGTAAGGGATCAAAATATGATTGATCAATAGCCAATCTCTCAGCTTTTAAAAATGTGCTGTGTGGTAAGGACCTTTTTCACACCTGCTATTAAAACATCAGAGAGCAAGGCCCTCAGGAAAGCCTAGTCTCTTTGACATTTAGGAGATGGATATATTATATCAGAGAAATATATACATACTAGGCTTTATATCATCAGCTCCTCTGATGTATGATCAATTTGAAATAAACTCTAACATCATTTGTGCATATGCTACAAAAGAGACACAATTGAAAGAGTGAACAAATTGATCATCTTGAATTTAGTTCTTGTGGAATAAACGTGAATGCAAACCATGCTTCGAGATGTTTTCTTCCATTTTCCCAAAAAAGGGAAATATAAACTCAAAATAAGGAGAGAAAACATTCATAAAGGAGTATATTTTGGGGATGGATGGAAGGAGAACCTTTAAACAAAGCATGGATGTGAACAGTTTTGTATACATAAGCACAGAGGGTTTTGAATTTAGGTTTGAAAGAAAGCTAAATAAATTCAAACCAGTCATTGTTGTGAACCCTACTCTTCAGGGAAAAAGAAGTCATTATTGCTTCTGAAAGGCACAGTGTTCTCCAACTCTGTTTTGCCTAACATAACTCAACCTCAGAGGAGCTAGACTTGAGTGTGTGCTAGAGGTCAAGAGGCAAAAGCAATCTCAATTGAAAAGTAGTTCTCTCAGAGTTGAGGCAGAGTTTAAAATAGAAAAATCATGTTTCTAAGAATAAACGGGACCTCTGATTAACTGTGTGTGTGTGTGTGTGTGTGTGTGTGTGTGTGTGTGTAAGAGAATCTGTCCACTCCTTCCTCATCCCTTTTTATCTTCCCCCACCCCGTCTCTCCTTCTAAGATGTGAGACCTACCACAATTGGCTTTCTCATCTTTACAAAACAACATATAAGAAGGAAAACATATTTTCTGTTTAAAGACAGTATGTATTTCCTCAGGGCCCCATGGGGCTAAACATCCTCATATACATAGTTCTCTCTTACTTTGAAATAGATGCAGAGTTAAAAATTGTCTTCATCTTTTTCTGTGAGCTATTTATTTAGGTCATTATGTTCCTTTTTTTGTTTCTAAATTTTTAAAAATGTCTTCTGCTATTTTTCAGAGAAAGCAGACAATCAGCTACTAGTTGTTGGGTTTAGGTCATATACACTCTTATTGCTTTGCTGGAGGTAGGGAGGATTATGTAGGGAAGGGAAGGTGAGAGGGACAGGGGTATGCCAGCCCCTGCAGGCTGCTCAGTACACTCTGTTCTCAAGGCTGTTTGCTATGCGGGCCGCAGGCTTTGGGCCTTTGAAGGGTTGAATACCATCTTTTGATTTACCGTGGTTGATGGCAGGGAGAAGTGAAAACTCAAGAACACAAAGATCCAGCAAAAAGAAAAACAAAACCCAAAATACCAAAATAACCAAACACACACATACACAAACCAAAGAAAAACCAAGAGACACACGGACAATAGAAATCAAATGAGGTTGAACAAGAAAAAGGGCATAGTGTTGTAAAAGTTGCAAATTGGAAAGAAAAAGAGACACAACTAAAGCCACTGCTCAAAACAGTCCTCTGTGTCCTAGAGATATTTAGGATTATAGTGTAGGCATTTTTTAAGTGCAACCAGTTGACCTGACAGCAGGTAAGATTCCAAATCCCACCTTCTTGCTAGGCCATCTAAGGTTTTATATGGTCTTATATCTGGTATATTTAGTATATTTGTCCATGATGTCTTCTCCATGCCTCTGACAAGTCATTCCACTGGAATCTTTATAAAGGAGCTCTGTAGCCAAACAAAAACTATATACCCAAATAAATCCATGGCTTAGAAAGCTTGGACTCAACCATACTACTCATCCTGTTGGCACTGGGCACTGACTTTCTACTGAGTAGAAATGACGTTGGTTTCTTTCCTTCCAGAAATCAAGAGGTCCCCATTCTCCACTGAAAATCAGTTAGAATCCAGTCAAGAAGGTCAGTAGCAGGAGAGAATATGAGGCCTTCAGGAGAGGAGGTACCAAAGTATCTGTTACAGGTAATTGCAGTGGAAGAACAATAAAGCTGCAAATTTAAAACTCATAATTTTAAAATACCAAGGAAAAATTATATGTATTACAGGAGGAGGACAGAGAAACTGGTGAATAACTGTGTAACATGACAATCCTTATAAAAGGGGCTGCTAGATGATGGGTAAGAATGTCAGGAAGGAAGAAGGGGATACGTAACAGGAGCCACATTCTCCTTCCACATGTCAGAGACTCTATAAATTTATAGGATTATTTCTTTAATAGGACAACAGAAAAATATCTGATGTCCTCCACTAGGATAAGGTATGAGGAGATACCAGTGCCACCAGACCTCCCCATTTGAACAGTCATTGTGGAGAAAGGAACAATGCAGCTCTCATCCCACTCACAAAGCTTAGTTTTCTTTAACCCCAACCTCTATTTTGCCTCCATTTGCTATCCTATCCCTGCCTTTAGCTTCGACTGTTTTGAGTGGTGACCAAGGAGTTGGACTTAATGGCAATGTGACTGATCAAAAGATGGACCAAAGTAGCGTGTTTTACACAAAGCTAAACGGTTCCAAAAAACCAAGAAAGGAAACTTAAAAAATAAATAATCTAGTAAAAAAAAAAAAAAAAAAAAAACACCACTGTCAGAAACCAGAAATTGACATCAAAACCTCATGCAGAAACAAGAAGAAGGTGTTTGTTGCTGTTGGGTTTTATCCTTGATCTATTAAACAAGAGGTGAGCAGCTAACTTTTAAGAAACAAAGAATTCAATCAAACCAATGAAAATCAGAAAAGAAAGGGTAGACAAGCCCAAACAAAGTGGCAGAGGGTACTTCATACGATACCTAAGTTAACCATGAGCTTGACACGCCCCCCATCGAGCTCCAAACGCAGGGTGTCCGCAGAGTCCCTGGAGGTAGTAGCCACCAGCAGCCCATAAGCTCGCTGGGACATGAAGCGGAAGGACACATCCTCTGCCTCAGTGTGCATGACCATGGGCATGATGATCTTCATGTACATGCTGCCATCGTAGCTCAAGATGGATGCCTCTGCAAAGAAGAGTGGAGAAGACTGTCAGCATAAAGGATATCAGAGTTTCTTTTTGCTTCCAGAGTAAGTAGAGTAGGGTGGAGAGGACACCAAATTTGCAGTCAGGTGACTAATGTTGGATAGACCTCTGGTGCTGCCATGTTTAACCTATGTGACCTTGGGCAGACCACTTACACTCTGAGGTTCTGTTTCTTTATTGGCTTTTAAAAGGCAGACAGAGCACTTGTCACTGCCCTAATGTTCACAGACTTAGCAAGTGTGCTAAATGAAATAATGAATGTGAAGATGTTTTGCAAATGTATAAATGCCCCCACAAATAGTAACAATTTAATTTTATGTGCAGTAGACAAAATAAAAATGCATTAAACTGGGGCGCCTGGGTGGCTTAGTCGGTTAAGCGTCCGACTTTCGCTTAGGTCATGATCTCGCGGATCGTGGGTTCGAGCCCCGCGTCGGGCTCTGTGCTGACGGCCAGCTCAGAGCCTGGAGCCTGTTTCAGAGTCTGTGACACCCTCTCTCTCTGACCCTTCCCTGCTCACACTGTCTCTCTCTCTCTCTCTCTCCTAGAAATAAATAAAAAAAAAACGTTAAAAAAAAATTTAAAAAAAATGCATTAAACAAAACTTAGACTCCTAGGAGTATTTTGTGAAAAAGAGAAGGAAAACAGCAATTTATAACCATCACAGCAAGCAGATATTTGCTAGAGCTTCTAGGAGGAAAGAGCAGCAGTCCAGGCCTGGTCCTGTAACAGCACTAGTGGCCAGGCACTATAAGAGTTTGCTTCACACATTCAAAGAGGATCTACAGAACTAGAGCTAAAACAACAACCAAAAAATAATGACATCCTGAGAATCAGTCATTCTACTTTTATTCAAATAGCACTCCCATGAGGAAGAAATTCTACCCCCTCTGATGCTTTCTCTAGTCCAAACACTTTGGTTAGGAGCCTCCCCCCACCCACTCTGCCCTATTATGTTACTAGGTTATCATTATTATGTTATCATCTCACTTAATGCTACAACATGGATCTATCATTCCTACTTTGAATATAAAACCAAAGGACTCAGAGACAGATGTTAACATCTCAAAGTCAGACAGTCTGGGTTTGAAGCCAATATGTCCAATACCAAGGCCAGGGCCTGTTCTACAACACCATGCTGCTCAAAATGTGAATTGTGTTCAATCATTCATTTTGCAAATACTTTTAGAGAACACAGAAAGAGAGTATCACTCACATTCTTATAAAGCCAACCTGTCACTGGGCTCAGTATCGGGCACTCAGTGGGCCCTCATTAAATATTTGCTGTTGCCAACTAGTTGCTACCTACCTACATGTACTATGGAGGTTCAAAAGTGAAACAAATGTCCCTAATATGAAGAGAGACATGGCATGTGCAAGTAACTGTACTAGAATATAAAAACGGTTAAGAGACACCTGGGTGGCTCAGTCAGTTGAGCGTCCGACTTCGGCTTAGGTCCTGATCTCATGGTTCGTGTGTTCGTGCCCTGCATCAGGCTCTGTGCTGACAGTTAGTTCAGAGCCTGGAGCCTGTCTTCAGATTCTGTGTCTCCCTCTTTCTCTGACCCTCCCCTGAGAACGCTGTCTCTCTCTCTCTCAAAAATAAATAAAACATTTAAAAAAGTTTTTAAAAAGTAAATAAATGGTTAAATAAGCCAGGAAGTATCTATAAAGCCAGGGGCATTCTGGAGAGAGACTGTGGCATGCAGGTGAATAGAGAAGATAAGGTAGAGTCTGAGACGTTCTTAGTAGATGGATGGGGTTTGTAATGAAAGAGGTGATAGCATCAGATTTGTCACAGATAAAATAGCACCTGTATACACACAGAGGAAAGAAATAAGGGGAATTCTCAGACAAAAACAAGCTATTAAGTTTAACAAAAGCATCAAGCATATTTTGAGAAGTCGTTATAGAATAGTTCTTTGAAATTACAACAAAATCAATGGACTTGGGTAGATACTGGGAAGTGAATGGTTTTAGATTGAGAAGTACCATGATGCATTCATTTATGATACTGTGTATGTGGCACTCTTCTAAGTGTTGTAGATGTAACAGTGAACAAAAGAGACAAACATCATCGGCCTTTATGTATAAAAGAAATCCTATCAGAAAGAGAAGAGCCCAACCACATGGAAGGTACTCAAAACAGTCTTTGTCATCATCATACCACCACCCTATTTACACAACATACAAAAAGTCCATCAAAAGCAATATAAATACACCTTCTCATTCCCAAGAAGCAATCACCACCTGGGTAATACCCAAGATGTGCTAATAGCTATATATTAGAATCTGAAAACTCTTAAGATTACAAATAAAGGTTTGACAGTTGCAGACACCATCACAATAAAAGACACATTATGAAGATGTATTCTTAGATGGGAAACATAATCTAAATTTAACACATGCTCCAGATGTGAAAGAAACTATTTTATTTCCTCGAAGAGCAGAATCAAAAGAAGATCAATAATGATAGCTAAAATATACTGAGCACTTACTGTTTGCCTGGTGCTTTCTAGAACTTTACATGCACTAAGACATTTAATGCTTACAAGAACACCACAAAGAAGACAATATCATTATTAGATTTTATGGATACCAGGTCACACAGCTAAGAAAGGGCAGAGCTGTGAGTTGAACATCAGCAGTTTGATTCTCATGGTTATGTCCTTAACCATTCTGCCCAATGTCAGAGGGCTCTGCCAGGAACACATCCATGTTCCTAAGCACTAAAAATACATCTATAATGCTTCATAGTAGAGTGTGGTGCCCTTGTGTTTATGTTTGTGTTATACGTACATGTCGTTATTTAAAGCTGTATATTACTTATGAATATATAAAATTATATAAATATAGATAATACATCCATTTCTAAATATGTTATATATAAAAATGCACAATGCCTTATGTGTTTATGTAATTATGAACACTATTAATCATTATTACCATGTGCCTTCTACTATACTCACCTACACACATATGTACACCCCTTTTTAAGAGAAATTAGAGTATTCAGTGAGCCATGAAATGGTTGTTTTGATGTACTCAACTTGAATACAATCCAAAAGTAAAGGTCACTTTCATCCCTCTGCATATGTGTAGTGCCAGAACATAGAACTGAATGCATCTTTGTGTCAGTATTGGTAGTTCAGAGAACAAACATCAGTTGAGTATGCAGTTAAACAGCTAATGGTACCATATAAAGTGTGTATATCAATCCATACCTTTGTATGCATCTCTGTGAGTGTGTTCTATTATCAACCCAAAATTTTTAAGGGGAGGGTGATGAAGCAGAAATGAAGCAGATTAGTACAGGAATCAGCTAAAAACGTCCATTCCAGTATTCTTATTAATTTGTTTAAAAGATTTCAAACACAAGGAAGACTCACCATGAATAGAATAATTATTTGAAGGAAGAAAATACACCTCAATAAGGAAAGTTATTCAGTCTGAAATATGTTGAACTGAGTTTTAAGAGACCACATCATGGGATGCCCACACAATGGTACTTAACACAGTTCCCCTGTTTTGTGTCTCTTTGCTCCTTTACTATCTCCTTTCATCTTAAATGAATATTTCCTACCATACTCATTCCTTTAATGATTAGCTATATTTCTGAGCTACTTCTTTAGTGGTTGCTCTAGGTCTTACAATATATATCTTATCAAATATACTTCATATTTATACTCAACTTAATTCCAGGAAGATATAGAACCTCTACTCTTCCATAGCACTCTTTCCTTCCTCCTTATTTTGTCATTGTTATTCATATTGTGTCTATATATATTACAAACTCAACAATATTGTTATAATGATTGCTTTTAAAAAACATATGTCTTCTTAAGAAGCAAGGAGAAGAAAGGAGAGCTCAAAAATATTTATAGAGGTTTTTTTTTTCTTTTTAATTAAGCTTATTATTTACCATTTCTATCCCTCTTCATTTCTTCGTGCAGACTCAAGTTACCATCTGGTATCATCTCCTTTCTCCAATATAGCTTCATTCATTTGTGGTTTATTGTCAAATATGTCACAATTCCATACATTATACGCCCAACAATACAATTTTATAGATATTGTTTTATGCAGTTGTGTTTTAAATCAGTTAAGAGAAAAAAGAAAAAGAAATGGGTAATTATGCTGTCTTTTACCATTACCTACATAATTACCTTTATTGGAGCTCTTTGTTTTTTCATGTAGATTCAATTACTGTCTGCTGTCACTTCCTTCCAGCATGAAGAATAAAAGCAGTTAGTAGTCCTCATAAGGCAGGTATATCAGCAGTGAACTCTCTGAATTTACCTGGGAATATCTTTATTTTGCCTTCACTTTTGAAAGACAGCTCTGTTGGATATGAGAATCTTGGCTGACACTTCTGTTTCTTTCAGCACATTTAATGTTGTCTTATTGTCTTTTGCCTCCACCGCTTCTCAAGAGACATCAGCTGTTAATCTCACTACAGTGCCCTCATACACAATGGGTCTTTTTTTTTTTTTCTCTTGCTGCTTCCAAGATCTCTTTGTCTTTGGTGTTCAATGGTTTTATATAATGGGTCTGGATGTAAATCTCTTTGAATTTAACCTACAGAGTTTATTCAACTTCTATGCTGTAGAGAATAATGTTTTTCATCAAATTTGGAGAATTTTCAGTCATTAAGTCTTTGAATAGTTTGTTTCTGTCTCTTTATCTGTCCTTTTCTCCCAGTGCTCCCATCTTATATAGTTAAGACATTTAAAAGTCCCCCACATTTTTCTGACACTGTTCATTTATCTTCATTCTTTTTTTTCTGTATTCAGACTTAGAATTTCTATTGATCTATCTTCAAGTTTGTTAATTCTTCTGCTGACTCAAATCTATTGTTGAGCCCCTCTAGTGAATTTTTTCTTGGGTTACTGCACTTCTCAACTCCAAATTTATATAGCATGTATATAAAATCTCTAAATGGAAATCCGGAAGTTGAAAATTATACGTGTGTGTGTGTGT